CATAGACACAACGTCAAAGCTTACTAGCTTATCGTCTTCTGAAATTGTCTGTTGATCTAGCAATTTCACACAATTTCACGAATTTTTTAGTGAATATATCCAATAATTGACAGAATTGCTTATTTGTATGCATAAATCCGTGAGGTTTTATGCATCACGCTTCCTTTATTATTTACAATTAATCTTAGAGGGACACCCTCCTTGTGAACCTTAAAGAGACCATAAGCCGAGGGGGCCCCTGCATCTCTCTGGAGTAGTGAATTCATTTTCCACTTTTCCATTTTACCATTACTTATGCATACCTTAAGGGCATCCTTTAGCCTAGTCTTAAGTCTTTCTGTTGGATCTCTCAATAAAAGCCTATACGTGGCATTGTCATTTGAATGAACTAACTTGACTTATCCATGACTACCACTGCTCCACCTTTGTCGGCTTTCGTTATGAGTAGATTATTATTATACAGATATCTAGAAATCTCACTAAGATGACAATCCTTCTTAAGCGGTATTATATGGTCAAAATGAGGGATCACCTCCAGTGGACTGCGTCAAAATGAATATCGAATAAAGGCAAAACGGCTGCAGTACAACTAGATTTATCCATCCTCATCTGGTGAGATCTACTAACGAATCTCTTCTTCATTCACTTTCATGCGAACTGAAAGTCCCCCTAATTACATATAATAGTGTAAAATAGATAAAAATACGCCTGCATAGTAGAGATAAGGGGAAAAGTGCCAGCCTTGATAATCAGTCATACTACGATGAGGTGAATGTATATGAACTGAAAAGTAATAAGCTTACTGCTAGGAAATAATTACGAAATCAGGCAACAACTTTATCAAAAGTAAAGCTTATCTACATGGAAGAGCCATAGACTTGAAGAGACTATTAGAAATTATTTTATTTGTTCGGCGTCATGTATGATACTGATTAAAATGTATAGTAAATAAAATCGCATACAGCCCATAGGCTCTTATAAACTAAGTAAAATGCACTAAGATCCACTAACATTTAGCGCTGAATGGATCATTAACTAATTGCCTTCGAAAAAATCATTACAGTGAAATGAGGCGTAGCGCACTAACCTGCTTGAAACCATCAATTACTTGTTTTGATTTTTCAAAACGTCGATGAAGGTCACCAAAGGCCTTCTCGATTGTAGCCATCTCTTCGAGAGCTTGGTCTCGTTCGGATACCAACTCAGCGACCGATTCTTTAGCAGCTACCTCAGTACGCATCTTTTCTTCTAAAATGTGTTGTAGGCTGCGTTCATATTCCTCAAGGCATCGGCTAAATAGAGTAATTGTAGAAAAAAGTATAACAATTAAAGTAGTGGTAATAATCAAGAGATAAGATGATTGGTGTCGATGAAAAAACATGCAGCAAAAGGTAAATTAAATATAACTCAAATAAGCCAATATATATATATATATATATGTATATATTCCAAATTTTTGCTGAGTGGCTTGAATATTAATAAATAATAAAGGAAAGGGATTCGCTAATAATTTCTATATAATGTACGCAAGGATTACAGCAAGGATAGCAATAAAGCCTAGATGAGGCGACAAAGACAAATGCTCATTTTGTTCAGAGTGGAGGAGTGCAATGAGGTATTTCCAGCTCAAGGGATCCCAAGGAATCTCAACAAGGCCCGGAAACGAGATTTCAAATGCCGGTCCTAGTGAATAAAACCAAGTCCTCATCACAACTGAGCCAACATTTGCGACTTTTATTAGGAAAATGGAATATCAACGTGAAAACAAAGGAGAAGAAAACACTTTTCACCGGTCTGCCAACACAACACGAGAAGACGGATAAACTTGAATGTTCGGGAGTTTATCGCATCAAATGCGAAAACTGTGAGCAAAAGTATATCGGTGAAACAGGACGAAAAATCGGCCTACGAACCAAGAACGTTCAAAGACTCTGCAGGAACATGGATATACGAAGATCAGAAATAGCGGAACACATTGTACGGACGGGGCACGAAATCTACTGGAAATCGACCGATAGGTTGGCTGGATATGGAGAAAATACAAGAAAACGCAAGATCCGAGAGGCCATTGATATACTGACTAAGATAAATCTAATAAACAGGAGACTTGAAGAAGGCAGGATCAGCGAAAAATTTTAATATTGCCAAAATAAATTAGGAGAAGACCAGGCAACAGGAGGATCAGCAAAAAGAAGACGACTGGATCAAGGTAATATCCTTAATTTTAGGAAAAGAGATCGCAAGGGGATGAGAAAGGAAGAATCAGAAGCAAAGAGGATACGTCTTCAGTGAGCCTTATCAAAACCAGTAGAACCTCGACATTAATGGGTTGGCACACAAGAGACTAGGGCATGGCAAATCATAGACTTGGTATTAGGAATGGAAAGAGGATAGAAACGGCGGGGACCAGAGCTAGTTGGCTGACGGTAGGTCTGTTGTACCAAAGACATGGTACATGCAGCAAAGGGGTGACCATGACACTCAGAGGCTAGCGCCTCGAATTAGTCACCCAGACGCAAGGGAGGGCGAATAACGCCTCGAGTAGGATAGATGCGGTGAACA